ACTGTAATTCTGAAAACAGTCCTAGAAATTTCTCAGTTTGTGCAAAAGCAAAATGTTAAAGAGTGGGACATTTATGCATGGGAAATACATGGTATTAATAGCAAGGTTGCCATTGAAAATCCTTTGGAGGTAAAGCAAACATAACTGAAGGACAGATTGCAAAGATGAAAAACATCAAGAAATCATAAAAGATGTAATTTGTAGTTTTAACTTCTAGTTCTCAAAGTGCTTTCTCACATCTGTGATCTCATAAAATTCACTGAACTAAGGTAAGTGAAAAAATATAATTGTTAATATTATTTAAAATAGTGTTTATTTGCTAAGTTATGTCTTTTGTGAGCCCATGGACTGTAGTCCACCAGGCTCCTCTGTACATGGGATTTTCTAGGCAAGAATACTGGAGTGGGTTGCCATTTTCTTCTCCAGGGGATCTTCCTGACCCAGGAATTGAACCTGTGGCTCCTGCCATGGCTCCTGCATTGCAGATGGATTCTTTAACTGCTGAGCCAGTGGGGAAGCCTCTGTTATTTAAAATTGGCAGCAGCTAATTGAGATCAGAACCCAGGTCTCTTGGTTCTTGGTCTTAAACTGTTTTCAGTTTAAGAAAACAGTTAAAAATAATCTGTTCTGTTAAAAATAATCTTTCCACCTGACAGCATTGAAATTCAAAAATAAATTAAATGTCTCTTATTACAACCCTCTTTTCCTATTGTGAAGAATTTCTACTTTGACAAAGTCTACAGCTTTCATATTTGTTTTAAATAATATAATTATAGATTCTTACCATATTTTAGGTATGAATCTGTCTGCCAATGCAGGAGATGCAGGTTCAAACCTGGGGTTGGGAAGATACTCTGGAGAAGGAAATGGCAACCCACTCCAGTCTTCTTGCCTGGGAAATCCCATGGACAGAGAAGCCTGGCAGGCTATAGTCCATGGGGTTGTAAAAGAGTGAGACATAACTTAGCAACTAAACAACAATCATTTTATGTATGATTCCAAAAGAGCAAATTTTTACTTGCTATCTCAATTTTAAGTTTGTGGCTTAGCAAGGTGGCCAAGATGAAATTTCTCCCTAATATATTTTCAGAGCCTTGGACTCAGTAACAAAAACTTTATGTCTTTTGCCAATTTAGAACACTGACAAATATAAGTTAGCTGTTTTTTGATTGTGATACATTGAAGTAAGGTCTCTATGGGTTGTAACGTAGGCAAGCAGAGATGATGCTTCCTCTATTGCTGGCAAGAGTCCAGGCTCCTGCTTCTACCTTAAAGGAAAAAACAGTGTTAGATGTTTTGTTCCCTGAATATCTTTATTAGTTTCCTATTGCTGCTATATCAAATTACCACAAACATGGTGGCTTAAAACCGCAAAAATTCATTTTCTCCTAATTTCTGGAAATCAGAAGTCCAAACAGTATAATCAGTCCAAAATCAAAGTGTTGGCAGGGCCAACACTCCATCTAGATGGTCTAGTGGAAAGTGCAGTCCTTGCCTCCCTGACTTCCTGTGGCTGCTGGCTTTCCTTGGGGTTGCGTCACTACTGTCTCTGTCTCTGCAGTCACATTGCCCCCTACGCTAGAGTCTGTCCTCAAGTCTCCATCTTCCTCCATTATATAAGGATGTTTGTGATTGTTTGGGGCTTCCCAGATGACTCAGCAGTAAAGAAACTAGAACACTTTCTAACACCATACACAAAAATAAACTCAAAATGGATTAAAGATCTAAATGTAAGACCAGAAACTATAAAACTCCTAGAGGAGAACATAGGCAAAACACTCTCCGACATAAATCACAGCAGGATCCTCTATGAC